CCATGTACATTGTTGCCAAACAAAATAATTGCTCATACACAAGGTCGTGTAGCAACCCCTTTGTCCTTCACATGTTTTATTGTTTTTAACTATTGTATAAATATTTTGATATAAATTAGTATCATATGCTTTCACAAGCATTTTTACTTTGATTTTGATTGATAAAAGTATATTGGAGTAATTCAAAAGTTTGAAAATTTAAGATCCTATTTATGCAATTTTACAAACTTAGTAATTCAATTGAATTAGTCCTTTAATTACCTTAATTTTGAATTAATTGTGATTTAAGGGAGATTTTACAACATTACCTCTTTTAAAAAGTAAGAATATCCAATGCTCTTTTTAAAAAATTTTTAAAATATTTTTTCCTCTTAACCCAAGGAAGCATTATGAAAAAAATTGCCCAGCACATATACATTGTTATCAGACAAAATAATTGCTCACACACAAGGTTGTAGAAACCTCCTTTGTTGTTATAATCTTTTTCAATTCTGAGTTCATGCAAAGCTTTATCTAAAAATATTTTTATTTACCTACACTTAGTCAAATTGTTTCAATCTACTTTGCTATTGAAGTATGCAAGTTTAGATCAAAGAAACATCTTCAAATGGGGACTTCCATTTAAGCTAATGTAAGATATTTAAATGCTAGCAAACTCTGTTTTACTTTAACATTTCTCAGGATTTAAAACTCTTCAATCCCCAGTTCTCTTTAGAATTCAACTGTAAACTAATTGCTTTTTGTTAGTTGATTTTTTATCAAAAAAAAAATATATATTGCTCATACATATACACGCGTGTGTCTGTGTATGCATAGTCATATTCTTTTTTGATACATTATATGTAGTTATATTCTGAGTGCTGAGGATTTTTAGAATTAGTCAATTCAATATAACAGTAGAGCCAACTATTGATTTTTTAAAATTTTCTGCCACTCAATCTAATCAGTAATCATCGTTTGGGTGTACAACTGGAAAGCGTATTTTCCATGATATTGAAACCCGGACCAGACCGGCCGGGTCAACTCGAAAACCGGTGACCCGGTCCCTTGTCCGGTCTGGGTTTACTCCTAAACCGGTGACGAAATAAATCGGTGTAATCCGGTCAACCCGGGTTCAACCCGGTATAACCCGGTTAACCCGATGGGTTGACTGGGTTAACCGAGTTATTTTTTTTGAATTTTTTTTATTTTTTATTTTTCAGAGTGCTGAATTTAGAAATAAGATAACAAAAAAAAAGTAAAACTAAAGTCAAAAAATAAAAAATTAGAGATAGAGCACGCTAAGTTCAATTCAGATTTTCAGACAGCATTTATTTCGGCCTTTCATCTGTGTCTCTCCTCTCTCACCCTAACCTAATCAGTGTCTCTTCTCTAGCTTAGTCTCCGTCTCTTCTTCAGGCTCTAGCTCTATCTCCATCTCTTCTCCAGCTCTATCTCTGTCTTTGCTATCTTCATCTCTTTTCCAGCTTAGTCTCTAACTCTTCTCCAATTCTATTTCTATCTCTTCTCTAGACTTTTGAGATTGAAGAGTTGTAAGTGTAATGAATCATGATAGATATTTAAAATATTGTATTTTATTACTGTTAGACTTTTGAGTGGTTGAATTTAGTTAAATATTTTTATAATTAATGTCTTTTTATTTAAATTGTATTATTTTAATCATGACCGGTTTGCCACCGGTTCAACCCCCGGTTCAACCCTAATTGAACCACTAACCCGTGACCTAGTGCCATAACCGGTTCAATGACCGGTCCGGTTTTACGTACCTTGGTATTTTCACATCATGAAGTGGGTCCCTAGAATATCCAGAGAACACATTTATCCGTTGAACAATACGAGAAACGAGATAGTTTCTGAGCGTTGGAAAATAGCAAGGCTGAAGCCTAACAACGTTAGCTTCCGTTATCTTCTGTTAGGCTTCAGCCTAACAGAGTTAGCTTCCGTTAGCTTTTACGCACTTGCCAATGTAAACGGTGAGTAACGGCCACTATCCTCCCTTAACATGTCCGAGTTTGAGTTCGCAGAATCTATTCCCAATACGACGGTTTTTTTTTTGTTTGAATAAAAGGCCACGGGTAAACCGTGCTAAGTGATATGATATGTCATATCAGCGTACAAGATATTTATACAACCAAGAGGTGGAGTATCAAAAATATGAACTCTAGGGCTTTCGACAGGAGTTTGGTGAGTCAACCAATCCGCACATTTATTTGCTTCTCTAAAAACATGATCAAAAGTGATCATTTAGTCTTTCATAACAAGATCTCTAATTTTGTTGATAGTAGTAGCAAGGGGGTGATTCATATAGAATTCATTGTGTATAAGTGTGAGAGCTTCTGTAGAGTCAGAATAGACGTTAACTTTATCAAATTTTTCCACCCAGCAAATGTTAAGTCCTTCCAAGATGCCCATAAGCTCTGCTGCCGTACTTGTGTGGTAACTAAGGTATTTGGAGAACCCTTTAATCCAATTTCCTTTGCCATCTCGGATTATGACGCCACAAGAAGTTGCATCTTGATTATTGGTGGAGCCATCTATGTCAAGTCTGATCCATCCGTCTTCAGGAGATAACCACTTAGCTTTAGATCTATCACTTTGTTGAGTTAAGAAGTTGATTTTTGATTGGAGGAGTTGATCACTAAGAATATCTTGAATGCTAGTGAATGCAATGTCTTTGTTAGGAGCATCTTCCTCAGAATATATGATTTTACATCTTTCTTTCCATATATTCCAACACACATGAGAGAAAAGTCGTTGCCAGGAGATCTTCCTAGCACAAGGTTTGCCCACATCATTTTTTGCATTCCAAAGTATCCAATTCTGTAAAGGGAGAGAAAAGAAAGTGTTAAGTTCATATTGTTTAATTAATTTTTTCCAAACCTCTCTTGATTTCTTGCAATCTCTAAGGATATGAGCAGTTGAATCTGAAGTGTTACAGCCAAAAGGGCAAGTCCTAATGCAGGGATTTTCGCAATTAGAATAGGTAAATTTAGGTTGAAGACGATCCCAAGCCACTTTCCAAAGAAAATTTTTAATCTTCTCATATGTTGGCCATTTCCAAATCATGGACCAAATTTTAGATCTAGAAGTGTCATGAAGATTTTCAATGGTCTTGTAAGCAGATTTGATAGTGAAATTGCCGTCATTGAAAGGTCTCCAACATAAAACATCATCATCAGCATTAGGATTGGGAGGTTGAACAATAGTGATTCGTTTGATGATATCGTGGTGAAGATATCTACGTAACTGATCAACCTTCCAACTACCTGCAGCAGTACAAAAATCAGACACTCTTGCATGAAGAATGGAGTCAGCATTAGGGTAAGCGTAATAAACCAAAAATACGACGGCTTTTTGAATACAGGTATGTGTAAGATTTCAACTTGCTTTTCTCTATAACTTCGTCTCTAATCAAAGTTCAATCCCTAATAACTTTATGTCCTATGATCGACATCTGATCCCTAATCAGCATCGTAATTTCTCAAAGTCAACCCACAGTGTGTTTTGTTCCGTTTAGATAACTTAATATTCTCTTTAATGCCTTCCAATGACTGAGCTTTGGATCATGCATGTACTAATGAGTTTGTTTACACTGTAGGAGATATTTGGTCTTGTCACAGAGAAGGATCATCTGCTGGTGAGCCTGACTAAACTCATTATAGGAGATGGCTTAGGTTTTGCATTTTGCATTTTGGTTTTGCTCGCCAAGACTGATATGCACTTTCCATGTGATCAATGTAATTTCCATTAGTTATGAAAGCCTCAATACCTGAGAAACAGTGCAAATTTCTGTTTCTGATCTACTTATAATCAAGATCTTGTCTCAGAGGCACGTGAGACAGAAATCATGACCAGGTAAGCTCTGCGACTAAAGCTACAACTCTTCTGCTTGATCTAGAGACAGCTTCTTCTTCTTCTTCTTTTTTTTGGGGGGGGGGGGGGAAGCCAAGATATAAGATTTCCTCTGAGGAGTTGGTAAAGGTTTTGAATTTTGATTTTGCCAAACTGGTCTGATATATATTTTTCCGCGATTAATCTGAATTTCGATAATTAGTTTTCAAAGCTTCAATATCCAAGATAAAGTGCAGATTTCCTAAGTTCCTTAAGGCTAAAGCTGAGTTCAAAGAACTAACCACACTTTTGATTTCTGATTCTAAACTGCCTGTCATTAAGATATCGCCTACATAAAATAGAATGTTAATCATGGACTTAGATGTAATCCTCAAGAACAGTGGTTTAGCAAATTTATGGAAGTAAAAGCCAAACCTCTCAACGCCAAACCTCTGAACTATGAAGTGTAGCTGTCAGCTTTTCAACCAGGCCCTGTTTTAAGCTGTATAAATCCTTATTAATCTTCCCCTTTGTTCTTTGAACAGTTTACTGAAACTGCACAGACAATCCCTCAGTTTCGCTGTGTTATTGTGAGGATCTTATCCTCTTATACCTCATAAGTTCCCCCTACTTCACTGCCCCCGCGAACTCTTTCTTCAGAGACTGTCTCCCAAAACTCCATTGACTTGAAAGATGAGGAAATGAATGAAAAATCACAGGAACTGCCCATCGGTATCGATCTTGGGACCACATGCTCATGTGTTGCAGTATGGCAACAAGGTCAAGTAGAGATCATCATCAATGACCAAGACAACAGAACAACGCCATCTTATGTGGCCTTCACTGATGCCCAAAGGATGGTCGGCGATGCTGCGAAGAATCAAGCCACACTTAACCCTGCTAACACTGTTTTGGTAATTCTTTTTCCTTTGTTCACTATATTTGGTAATTGTTGCTATGAACTTGGCCATAAGAGAAAATAGTACTATTAAATTATATTAGTTTTTGAAATTGAAAAGGTCTATGACGACATTTATATTCAGGATTTTGATCTTTGCTGTTGTATCTGTTCACATGCAACTAATTTGATTCGTATGAAGAGGATTTGGCTGGTTTTCTTTATCATTACTTGTTAATTATTTTTACTTGCAATCATCAATATTTTGCAGATGCAAAGAGGTTAATTGGTAGGAGATTTAGTGATTCTCATGTTCAGAGTGATATGAAGCTTTGGACATTTAAAATCATTTGTGGACCGAATGATCAGCCCATAGTTGTTGTAAATTTTAAATATCAAGAAAGGCACTTTCATCCCGAAGAAATCTCATCCATGATATTAGCAAAGATGCGTGAGATTGCAGAGATATATCTTGGTTCCCCAGTTAAGAATGCAGTTATCACGGTACCTGCATATTTCAACTTCTGTCAACGTCAAGCAACTAAAGATGCAGGTATTATTGCTGGCCTAAATGTTATGCAAATAATCAATGAGCCCACTGCTGCAGCAATTGCATTTGATCTTCGTAGGAAATATAGCTATGTCCAAGAGAGGAATATTTTTGTGTTTGATCTTGGTGGTGGTACCTTTGATGTGTCTCTTCTAACAATAAAGAAGGGTGACTTTCAAGTTAAAGCAGTTGATGGTGACACACACCTTGGAGGAGAGGATTTTGACAATAGAATGGTGGACTTTTTTGTTAAAGAGTTCAAGAGGAAGCATAAAAAGGACATTAGTTGGAATCTAAAGGCCATTAGGTGGTTGAGAACTGATTGTGAGAGGGCGAAAAGAACACTCTCATCTACTCCTATTGATACAACCATTGAGGTTGATGCTTTATATGAGGGCATTGACTTTTACTCAATAATAACTCGTGCCAAGTTTGAGGAAATGGACAAAGATATCTTTGGAAAGTGTTTGGAAATTGTAGAGAAGTGTCTGTTGGAAGCAAAGATGGACAAGAGCAGTATTGATGATGTTGTGCTTGTTGGTGGCTCTACGAGAATTCCCAAAGTTCAAGAACTACTACAGAACTTCTTCAATGGGAAGTGTCTGTGCAGGAGTATTAACCCTGATGAGGCTGTTGCTTATGTTGCTGCTGTTCAAGCTGCCATATTAAGTGGTCAAAGGACTGGAAGTTTACCCGACATTTTCTTGAGGGATGTCACTCCATTGTCCTTGGGGTTCAAGATAAAGGGTGGTCTCATGAGAGTTGTAATCCCAAGAAACACTAGTTTTCCTGCCACAGTCTGGGTTGATGATTTTACTACTGAGAAGGACAATCAAACATCAGTCTGTATTCCAATTTTTCAGGATGAGAGAACAAGAGCTAAGGACAACCACTGGTTGGATACGTTTGAAGTTACCATTGCTCCAGAGTCAAAGGGTGTTCCTGATTTCAGAGTTTGCTTTTTCATTGATGAGAATGGTATTTTAAATGTTTTTGCAGAGGAGACTAGATCAGGAAACAAGAATGAGATAACCACACATAACGGAAAAAGAATACTATCAAAGGCAGAAATTGAAAGGATGATTCAAGAAGCAGACGAATACAAGGCCGAAGATGAGAGGTTCAAGAAGAAAGTAGAAGCAAAGAATGCTCTGGAGGACTATCTGTACAAAACCAGGACCACTGTAAATAATGAGATGAGTGGCTCAGGGCTTTCACCAACAGACAAGAAGAAGATTGACAATGCAATTAAAAGGGCCTTAGCATGGGTTGATGTGCAGCAGCTTGCTGAAGTTGACGAGTATCAGCTTCAGAAGGAGAGAGCTTGAGAGCATCTTTAATCCCATGAGGTTGAAGATGAGTCAAGAATTGAATGATAACGCGCGTCCTTCTGCCGCTGGTACTGGTGCCTGTTCAAGTAATAAGAAACAAAAAAGGATTGTTAAAGATAAGCCAAAAAAATGGATCTAGACTGGTGAGTTATTAACATAGGGTGTTGTTGCTTATGCTTTTGAGTCATTGTTGTCAGATTGTTAACTGATTTGGTACGATATGACCATAAGGTTGGATAATTTCCATTTTGTGATTATATTAATTATATGTATACTTATTGATATATTTAGGTTAATACTCCCTTCGTTTTAAATTATAAGAAATTTTTAAAAAAGATTTAATGTTTTAAAATATAAGACACTAATGAAAATAAGGTTTTATTAAAAATATCTTTTCAAAATTATCCTTTTCATATATTCTCTCTCTTTAATATTCTTTCATTAATGGAGTATTAAATGAAGAGTATTTTTGAAAGTTTATAGTTTTATTTTAAAAAAGTAAGGTTGTAAAGTGTATTTAATAAACTTTATTGATATGTGAAATTGTCTTAAAATGTTTTATAATTTGAGACGGAGAGAGTAATATTTTAGTTGACGTCTCATCTTAAATGCTTTTATAGCAAGTAGGGTGTATTTTTGGTTGCGAATCTCTATCGCACCCTACGGATTTTGAATTGGATCAAGGAATGTGAATCTTTGTAGCACTCATCTGAGTTCAATTTTATGAAAAAGAAATTTCTCAATAACAATACTTTTAATATAAGAATTTTGTTAGTGAATAATTTGTAAATCTTTGTAAATATTTTTTAGATTTAGAGACATGTTCTGATTTTAATGAGTCTCGAGACTTAACTTATCTTAAGAGATGAAAATGGAAAATACATTAGAAAAGGATGTACTCAATTGCTACTTTCTTTTCTAATATCTCTTTTATTATTACAAGCTCTTTCCCTTTTATATGCTTCTTGCAGGTTTTATTTTTTGTGTTGGGATTTTTAGACGAATTTTTTTTTTAATCTCTTCTTACTATAAGTTGGTCCTTTTTATAGAAAAAGCAAGTGGGGTTGGGAATTTTTAACATATGAAAATTATCGTCTTTCAATTAGCATGATTTGTAAATTTCAACATATGACTCATAAAGTCCACAAAAAGATAACATGTAAATTATCACATGATAAAAAATATTTTGCACGTTATTTCTAACGGAAAATGGTGAAGGAAGAGTCGTGAAAACTAAAGAAGTAACATGCAAAAACAGAAAGTACAATTTAAAGTAGGTTTATTGTAACTTGTTTTACATATAACAGCAATAGCAATAGCACTAGCAACAGAAACTTTTTAAACTCGGATGATAAATGAATTTGATTAGTAAATTCAAATCTAAATTACATTACATTGATTCTTATATTTGACTAAATTCAGTTATTTCACTTTATTTATGTTTTGTTTCATTGTGCAACACAGCACTATCCTATCTGATAAAACACTGGTTAATTAGAAAAAAAATTAATTGATATTTACAACATATGTTTCAAAAAATTTAATTTAATTTAATAAAAAAACCTAACTGTCCTTAATTATTACTTTTGGAACTTAATTAAGTGTCACTCTCCCTCGTCCAATTAGATGTACTCGAAAATAAAAAATTACAATGCATACATGTATATGCAAATAAACAAAGATGCATGCGCAATGCATGGTTGTTTCTTAGAACCCGTACGTGTGACCATAGAGTATCCCAGTATCTCTAATGCTATTGTCTCTTGAAACTTGATATCCGCCACCTTCTGTCTCTTCAGCTTTAATATCTGCCTCTTTGGTCCTCGAGCAGTTTACCAAAACTGAACAAAGTCTCTCGTGATACTCCGTTTCGCTGCGCTATCATAAAAGGAATCTTACCCTCCCAAATCTACTGATTACAAGATCCAACTACTTCCCAATCTTCAAGAACTATTCTCCATTCGTTCTCAGATTGTGTTGTCAAAATCTCTATCACCTGAAAGAGAGGGAGAGATTAGAGCTGAGAGAATGAGTGAGCTCGACCTTTATGATTTTAATTATTATGGGCTAGATCAATCTTCAAGAACTATTCTTTCTTCATTCTCAGACTGAGTTGTCAAAATTTCTATCACCTAAAAGCAAGAGAGAGATTAGAGGTGAGAAAACGGGCGAGCTCAGCTCCTATAGTTCTAACACTATGAGTCTAGGCCATAAGGGCCTGAGCCTTTAAGCTCAATTTCTCTTTTTTTTAAGGCCTTACCCTTATTTGAAGAGTTCAGGGTCGGGCCTATAAACCTTATTTTAAAAAATTAAAATAAAATTAAACATTATAAATTAATTAAAATATTTTAAAATTAAAAAAATTTTTATAATTTTTTAGAAATTAAACAACACATATTTAGATGTCTAGTAAAAAAATTCAAATCTTGGTTAAAAAATAATTTATTTTTCATAAATACACAAACATGATAATTATAGAAAAATAAAAAAATATTAAAAATTTTATACAGTACACTAATATTTATTAAACTATATTAAATTAATTTTAAAATAAATTAAAATTAATAATAACATAACATGCGTAGCATTAGGGTTTCAAGTAAACAGGTCCTTTTTGATTTCAAATGTGTGTTCCACCAAAGAAAAAAAATTAATAATAATATAATAGGACTTGAAGGGCCACCCGAGCTCGAGTCCTTTTTTACAAAACTTATCAAGGCTAGGCTCTCAAGCCTAATTACTTTAAAAAATTAATTTTTAAAGCTTAAATCCTTATTTAAACAGAGCTTTCAAGTCCGGCCCTTATTCTCGGCTCTACCTAAGCACAATGATAGGTAAGAATCTGACTATATTCTTTAATATTAATTTGCTCCTAAACTCTTTTTTAAGAGTGCTAGACATCCTAAAGTTTTTTTTTTTTAATTTCTAGGAGTGTCGAGCATCCATAGATCTTGCTAAAATAAAATTTAATAAATATTATTAACATATTAAATATTTTAATTTAATATTCAATAATTTAAATATTATTATTTATTATTTATAAATATTTATTCAAAATTTATTACTTATTTTTTAAATATTAGTAGCTCATACTAGTTTTTTTTAGCATTAAAATTATTTTTAATTATAATTACTAGATTAATTAAAATATAATAACAGTAATAATATAGATTTCAAATATGTAAATAATAGTTTTCCTTCAACTCATTTAACGATGTCATGATTGGATTCAATAAACTTAATAGACAAAAGTGAAACTTACGTACCTCAAAATTAATGGACGAAAATATGCTTTTGCGTTTTTTCAGATGTACAATACATGTTATATTTTATTTGCACTCATTTGCAGACGTGAGGACTGAAGAGGTTAATCGGTACGGTATGAAATTTTTGAAGCTTTAAGATTTTTGGTCCTAGATTTTTCAATCTAGTAATTTTTAATTTGAATTATTTAAGAATTGGTTCTCGCCTTTAATTTGAATACCACCATTTTGGGGGGCAAAAAAAAAAAGGCCAAAATACACATAATTCCCCTTAATTTAAAGATCAATTGTATATAACCTTATTCATCTTTAAAAGTTTAAATCCAATGCCGTTCTGATATAGTGACAGCTAAATTTAATGTAATTTATCCCATTTCAGCCTAATCATTTCTCGTTAACCAAATACACTTAATTAGACTAATGTGGCATAAATTTTATTAGATGACATTTGGATAAGTGAATTTAAGTTGAAAATTTAAATTTAAAATTTCATATTTGAAATCTTACATTTGAAATTCATAACTTTTAAATTATTTATTTGGATGATAAAAAAATTTCAAATTGTAATGTCAAAATCCTTTGTTTGGATTTAAAATAAAATTTTAAATTTTAAATTATATATTTAAATTTAAAATGAACTTGAACAATTGGTCAAAATCGACAGTCCAAATGGCCAATTTCCATCGAAGCTAGACAATCAAATCTGACTGGGACTATAACACTTGCAACGACTAGGACAGGATAACCAAATTTCGGCGAAACTTGATTGACGGTGATGATGGGGATCAAAAAATCAACTTCCAGTGAGACTTGACTAATGGTGACCTGATGACCAACTTCTAGCTGGACTTGACTAATAGCGAGGGGGGCCGGATGACTGACTTCTATTAGGACCAAATCGACGGCAAAGACCAGGACCAAATGGCCACCTTCTATCTAGACTAGACTAATAACGACAACGGGGACTAGATAGCCAACTTCCATTAAGATCAAACTAACGACGATGACCAATACTGGAATACCAGCTTCCACAAAGAATGGGTCGATGACGACAATTGGGACCAAACGGCCAACTTCAACCAAGATTGGACCAACGACAACCATCAGGATCAAACCAACGGTGATGATCGAGATAGGATGGCTGACTTCTACTAGGATCGGATGGCTGACTTTCATCAAGACTAGACCCAATGAAAGTTGATCCTCCAATCCTTGTAGTAGTCATCAATCCAATCTCAAAGAAGGTTAGCCATCCAATCCTCATCGTTGCCTTTTGTCTAGTCCTAGTGGTCGTTGTTGGTCCGATCTAGGTGAAAGTTGATCGTTCAATCCCAGTTATTGCCGTTGATTCAATCTCGATGGAAGTCACCTATCCTGTCTTAGTCGTTGTTGTTGATCCAGTCCTTATGAAAGTTGGCCGTCTAGTTCTCATCATTACAATCATTGTCATCATCAGTCCAATCCTAAGGGAAGTTGCCTATCCCTTCCCGACCTGGTCCTAGTGAAAGTCGGCCATCCTGTCTTGGTCAATAGTGGCAACTTCTTTCCATCAACTTCAGCAATCTGGTCGAATTACCGTTATGGCCAATCAAGCCTTCATGAATTTGGGTCAAATTACAAAAGAAATTGAGTTAGAATTTGAAATAATAAGGATTTAGAAATGATTTTAAATTACAAAAAGATTGCATTAGAACTTGGATTTGGATTTGAGTGAAATCTAAATCCATACATTTTTAATTATCCAAACAATTAATTTGGCTCAAATTCACAT